GGAAAAACACCTGTTCCTCGCCATTATCTGATCTTGTCAGTGCCCAAATAGCGAAGATCAAACATTCAATATCAAATGGCATTCTGAGTAGCACATCTCAACTAAACTCTACATCCAGAATGATGGCTTCATAGAGGAATAATGATCCAAACAACCCTAGTAAGAATCTTGCTTCGCTTCGGAAGCAAAATGTTTGCAAACTTTCCTATTGAATGTGGTTTTTTTCACACCTGTGTAGCCTTGCCAATGGCATGCTGAGATCTCAATGGTGAGCTACATGAAAAACGAAGTAAACTGGAATTGTGTTGAGCCAAACCTAAGAAAATTAATTTAGCTGTAGGTCCTGCCATCAAGGCACCAAAATGTGATGCCTAAGAGAGCATCACAATGTCAGCAGTAATCCTGACTAGTGTTTTTGTTCAGGAGTCTACATAGCTGGGAATCGTGCCATAGCTTATGCTTTGCAGGAGAGACTGGTAGAGAAATGGCAATGGCCATCCAACAGGTAAGCATCTGACCAAAGGGTCTGGGGTTTGTGGCAGAGCTGTTTCAGCAAATAGAGCTGAATGACACCAGAAAAGTAAGCACCGTCATGAGAAGGCACAATTAGATCAGGAGATATGGCTGCAGCTTGGGAGGTAGTGAACTGTTCAGGCCCAGGCTGGTCCAAGCATCAAACTTGACTCAGAACAATAAGGCCAGGGCCAAATTCTCCCACGGGCAAAGAGGTAGCTTATATTTCTTTTCTATGGTTGGTTCTCTTTAGCTCAAAACTGGACAAAGCCTACAAGTTAAAGGTTTTTGAGGCTAGATGAGGTGTGAATCTACTTTTATGTAGTCATTTATATATAGATTTTTTTATCCAACCAGAAATCACTGAACATACACACACACACACCAGACATGAACACACTTTTGTCAATACAGTATGAATGATTTTCTTAAGTTTGTATTTTATAAAGGTTAAAGTTTATTGCTGACTACCAAGTTTTCTTAATTCATAACAACTAATAAATCTTACTTAAGATTAGGAAAATCACATTAAGTTTATGATCTTTGACATTCAAGTATATTGTTTAAAATGTTCAAAAAATGATGAACTTTAGAGATGAGTTTCAGGCTTATATTTCATCAAAAATATGAAAATCAGTGGAAAATGTATAGTTGTGGAATAAACCAGTGGGAATGTACAGATTTCCAATTCTGGGTTCCCTAATTTTAAGCTTTTTACATCCTGATTTATCAAATGCAAACTCTGAACTTCCCCAGTTGAAATATTTCTTAAATTCTAATATAGAAGGATTTATGTATACTCCCCATTGTTTCATTTACTTAGAAAGCAGATTGAAAGAACAATGACGCTGGATTTCAGAGGTCTGGAGGAAATATTGTACGCATGACATCTGTTTTCCCTGGGGATTTGACACACATTTGCTTTAATGTACTAGTGTGTTCTTCATTACCTTAGAAGCTATACGCTAAAAACAGGAGTATGTTTCAGTTTTCAAGGAAAAGAAAAAATATATAAATCCCAAAGCCCTTCTCTCTGATGAACTATAATTTAGGGTTAAGCTTTCAAAAAAAGAAAAAAATGCAAACGATCATGTTTCTAAACGGCCCAACTTTTTAAAGATTACGTGTTAAGTCTTCCATAAGCCTTCCATACATGTTAATTTTCCTTGTTATTAAACAATTATCCAGAGCTAGGAAGAACATGTCTTTGAAAATCAACAGCTAAAAGAAATAAGATCTGCATCTCTAAATAGCCTGAGTCACCAATTTAAGATGTTTGAGGTATTAATCCTCCGGAAAATTATTTGGCCTCCAGAAGCAGTAAATTGTTAAACGTCTTTGGTGGATACCCTGGAGTTTTGCCATAAACTGACACATGAAGATCCATGCCGAACACAGAATGCCACTATTCCACACTGTACCAGCTGGCTTATAACTTCTACATCTCTGCATAATTTCCCTTAATAAAAAACATATAACATACCCAAAACACTTCCATGATTCTCACTCAGTATCTGTTCAACCAACTTGCAAACTGAGGGATATTTCCCCTGTAGATCACTTAAATTTACATTTTTATAAAGTTCCTTCAGAGTGAAAGAACACAATTCAGAATGGTAGCATGAAGAATAAAACGTATTCTTGAAGTTGAAGTTCACATATCACATGGATAGATGAGATAAAAAAAAAATCTTTTCACTATGTCTGTCCTTTGCCTGAGAGGACCACATCAAATGATCAGATTTTACTTTGCGGCATGAGAACTGGATGTAGCTATGAAATCAAGTGTCTCAAATTATTTCCCAAGTCCAGACAATGATAATAAACATCTCTCGAAGGGTCTAAGCCAGACCCATTAGTGAACATGAGCTGTCTCACATCAGCTGAAAGGAAAACTGTCTCCTGAAATTAAAGAGCAATTGGTATCAACATTTGCTTTCTCCTGGCACCATCTTTGATTCTTGGATCCAGACCTTTGACTCATATATCCTGATGCATTTAAATAAAACTAAGAGACTTTAAATATCCCCCACTCAGTGAACTGAAGTAAATAAGTGAATTTAGTAAATTGCATCTATACACTTAATTAAATACATTTCACAACTTAATTTAGAGAATTAGAATTAATTTTGCATTTATTACAGTGGCTTTTGCATTAAAAATAGAGATACCAAAGGGGTCAGGTTGAGTTAGGGATAAAGGTTAGAAGGTCCTACTAAAAAGGCTAATAAAAAGTGACTGAAATGTCACCATCTCCCTGCCAAAATGTACAAGTGATATTTTCAGTTTGACAAGAAAACCCCATCCTTGTTTGTTGGTGTTGAATTCTGAACATAAATTCTATAGTTTTCAGAAAGAGGCGGTATGTGTGTACTTAATGAAACACTGACAGGATTGGAAACTAAAATCTTCTATTTATCAAAAGGTTAGATAGAGTATATTCAGTCACAATATGAATGTAGATTACCTACAAGAGCTTGCCAACAACAATCTTTAGGATAGAATAGTACTTTAATGACCACCTTAGCTAGACATCCAGCAGAGAGAGCTGACCAGGTCTAGCTGACGGAGGCAAGTTATTATTAGCAAATATCTCTGCTAAGATGAGATTTAGAAGTTTTCATAGGCTATATATCTTTTGGGTTGAATTTTTTCAAAGCCTCAGAAATGACAAAAAATACTAAAGTGTAAATCCTTTATTGATTGAAAGAATAAAACAAATTGATTAACAGATTAGTGGATTACTGTATAGATGGATAGATGAACATTTAAAGACTTTACAATATAGTTTTTATTTAAATAAAAGACCAAAGTGCTTTACTTCCTTTTTTATAATATCTGGTTTGAAATCGTACCCAGTGAGTTGAAAACAGCCGAGGGAGCAACTGGGGAAATTTTTCCATAAGAAACCATAATGACACAATTCATTTTCTGTATATCATAGATATTACCATGGAAGATAAATTGAAGAGAGCCCAAGAAAGAGAAAGAACTCATGATTTAGGTATTAATTCCTCAGTCAAGAAGTTTACCCTCAGAAGACTCCATTTGTTTACATTTTTTACAAAACTATATTTCTAACATCTTGGCTGGATATATGCTCTTCATGAGAACAAGTAACTAGTTCATGAATAGCTAGATTCTCTATACACCAGGATCATCTCCAGTTGTAAATTAAGTACCAGTGGAAGTCAAATCAGCAGAGTATAATTTATTAAGCTACTGCTGTGTTAATGCAACCTCCGAAGGTAGCTCATTTACTATCCAGAATTTGATTAGCCCTTAGAAGAACATGGTTCATTTTATTCAAATAATGCTATTTCAAAACATAAATTTCACAAACTGACCCTCAGAGAAAAAATATCTTTGAATTTAAGTATATTGGAAATTTGTAAAATTCTAATTCATTCATTTTCTATCCACACTGACACCTTGCTAGTTGTATAGGGAGTTATAAAATATGTAATCCTGCTATTTTTCAAAGATAAGTTAGGCAATATCATGGGGAGGCATATTTTGCTCAGGGATCCTTACACCATTATGATACTACCCAATATGTTATGGCAATTGTAATACTTTGTAGACCAGTGAAAAAATATATCTAAAAATAACTGTGCCATTTCTGAGCAAAAGCAGAAGTAATTGATGTTTCCTAGAAAAATGATCCCACCTGGCTTTGTAGAAGAGCAGCATGAGCGTTTCAGTGACAGGTAGATCCAGAACAGAGCTTTGTCCTCAATATCATTCCAATTCTCTGAAACCCCAAAGCAAGGTTCATAGAGATTCTTTAGAATGCTCCACTTGAAAGCCAGATTACACTATTTAAGTGGCCTATGGAGTTCTGTATTAAAGGCTCCCTGCTGCTCAGGCATTTTTCCCATTATAATATATTGCTGTGGATTTAACACTGTAGATGTTCTAGCATTTAACTAATATGGCTCAAAAGGTTGTCATCAGGGACGCTTCTAAATTATATCACTGCAAATAAACCTTGCTACAGAAGGAATTGCTTATTTAGCAAAGACAATTTATGGCATATTTGCATAAAAATACTACGTCTGTCTTTCAACTTCATCTGTAATGCTGCTGCTGAGCAGAAGAACATTAGATGTGTTAGGAATACCAGCGACCTTGGCAGCAAGCTAATTTGTAAAAGCATACTGCAAACTAAGTGCCCCGCAATGCCCCAACTTATACCCTGCTTAACTCATAGATGTTTGCATAATAGAAAGAGTATAGAAAAATACTTATTACGCAGCTCTTCCATGTAGCTTACAGGAAATTGGTAATCAACCACTGGATGTTAGTCCCCTGTGATATGTGGCCTAGAAAGCAGGTGAATGAAGCAATTCAAGGCAAGGCAGTTTCCAGAGGAGAATGAAATATTGGCCACATGGTTAGATTGTTTGAAGACACATTTTGTACCCGTCTTCTGACACCAACCAACAGTGAATGTGAAAGCAGACAGGAGAATGAAAGGTATTTACCAAGCCTTGTCATGTCCTCTTGATCTCAGTTGAGGGCCCATGCTTGTTGGTACTGCAGAACACAAAAACAGCTTAGAGACTCAGAGAAGCCTGCGTTCAATATTTGTCTTAACGTACGTGCTATGTGCTCTTAGACAAGTTGTTTGACCTAAGACTCAATTTTTTCATATATTTTGAAACGGGTATAACATACTGATTTTGGTGGTTAAGAGAACTTAACAGCCTTTTCAGCTGGATAAGGTGGGTACTTTTACCTACATTCTGTAGATAGGAAAATTGAAGCTCAATGAATTTAAGAGAATCTGTACAAATTTAAGAATTTGTAAAAAGTCACATACTAAGATAATAACAGAGCTGGGTACAAATTCCAAGATTTTTGGCTCCTGACTTAAAAATATTTCTATTCCAACATGTAGGATTCTCAATTTTCCTAGATTCTGTTAGGTGTTCTGACCTCACAAATGTACACATAAGCTATCTTCATTTTTAACACAAACAAATCTTTTATTTATTAAAAAGTGGAGAAAAAACAAAACCTCAAACAGCTAGTCAGGTTGAAACTGGCACTTGCTATTTTGAATGTCTATCCACAGGTCTCCTAAACTGTTCCTACTTTTTCACAGATTTTTCTTTTATTTCAACTCTGAATTCAAAAGATATAAGTGTTCTACTTCCCTCTGAGACTCCAGTAGTGTCCTGAGATAGAAGGAAATACAGGACAAAGGAGACCACTTTAAGTATAAGCCATCTGTGGATTGAATGTTGACTGGGCACTTCCCTGGCTGCCATATGCTTACTATAAATTTTTTTCTCTATTGAATTAATATGATCATCTCAGAAACTTAGGTTACAATATGGTCATAGCAAAATACATGTCTACAAATAATTATTTCACATTCAAGCAGTATTTTAAGTTAGAACTTATCCATGTCCCTGGTACAATTTACCATACTACATAATTTATGTATTTATTTCCTTTATTCTCTCATATCCCATTAAAAATAAAATTCAGGAGTGTGTAATTATTGTCACCACTATATCCCCAATTCCTAGAAAAAGTACCCAAGACATAGACATGTATTAAATATTTGTTAAATGAATGAATGCATCCCACAATCAAATACATACCTTAAATGGGAATATGAATTTCATTTGATGCCAACCCAATCAGTTTTTTATTGTATCATCCTTTCTCACCTATTTAAAGTGAATTTCTCACCTGCTTAAGGTACAATTTCCCTTCTTTTTCCTGCATTATCAATGTATTGCACTATAAAATTCTCCCCATTCACTTACAGTTACGCATTAATATCTATCAACTTGAAAAAAAAACACCTTAACATCATAGCTCCCTCCAGCTGTATCTTCACTTGTCTGCTCCCTTTATATGAAATCTTTTTTTAAAAGTTGTCTCTACTTCCTGAATCCACTTCTTCCCTTTCCATCATTTCTTGACACACATGACTCAAACTATAATCGCTTTTGTTCATGTCATCAGTGATCTCCACGTTGTCAAAGCCAATGGCCAGTATGGTTTGAACACTTTCTTCACTTGACTCTTAGGATATCATTTGCCTTTCACTCTCCTCCTATCCCACTGGTACATACTTAATCTTCCTAAACTAGAATCGCTGATATATACCAAGGCTGTCTTCAACACTCTGCTTCCATCTTCTATTGACACTTACCATCTAGGTAATCTCATTCAATGTCATGGCTTTAAATATCCTCTGTATGTTAATGACTCTGATTTTAATCACTATCACTATTCTCTCTCAAACTGCAGATTCATATATCCAATGCCTATTTCACACATTCAGCTGAATAGCTGCAAGACATCTCAAATTTAGCATGCCCAAATGCAGACTCTATACTTCCCCCATGTTCTTCATTTCAATTAAGGGCACCTCCATGATTTCAGTTGTTTATGCCACAAAACTTAGTGTCAGCATAGGCTCCTCTCTTGCTTTCACACTCCACATTCCAATCCATCAGTAAATCCCCTAAGCTCTACCTTCAACGTATATTCTTAACCAGCTACTCCTTAATACTTCTAACACCGTAGTTGAAATCACTATCATCTGTCATCTATACTGCTGCAATGGGCTCCTAAACTCTTTTTTTTAAAGATTTTATTTATTTATTTAAAAGGGGGGGAGGGGAGAGGGGCAGAGGAAGAGGGACAGAATCCAAAGCAGACTCTGTGTGCTAAGTGCAGAGCCTGACACGGGGCTCAATCTCACAACCCTGAGATCATGAACTGAGCTGAAATCAAGAGTCAGATGCCTAACTGACTGAGCCACCTAGACACCCCAAATATGTTTCTAACCATGCCACTCTTACAGTCTATTCTCTTTTTTCTTTTTTTAATATTTTATTTATTTATTCATGAGAGACAGAGAGAGAACAAGAGGCAGAGACACAGGCAGAGGGAGAAGCAGGCTCCATGCAGGGGGCCCGACTCAGGACTCGATCCCATGATTCCAGGATCATGTTCCCCCGCCAAAGGCGGTCCTAAACCACAGAGCCACCTGGGCCGCCTTTACAGTCTATTCTCAATACAGTATTCAGCAATCTTTATAAAACATAAATTAAATCATGTCAACGGGGACCTGGGTGTCAGTCAGTTAAGTGTCTGCCTTCAGCTTTTCTCTCTCAAGTAAATAAATAAAATCTTAAGGAAAAAAGTCCATAAATTAATGTCAAAATTTTGCTGACAACCATCTGTTAGCTTCTGAAATCACTCAGAATGAAACCCAAAGTCTTAACCACAACATACAAGACCCAAATCTCTCTGACCCACCCTGAAAATTCTGATTTCATCTCTCATCATTCTCCTATGAATTATGATCCAGTTAACATGAGACTCCTAAATATTCCTCGAATATTCCAAGTACCACCCCTTCCCCACCTCACTGCAATTATATTTTCTTTTGCCTAGAAGATGTTCCCTCAAAATGTCTAGATGGGTTTCTGCAACATGTCCTCAACTTCTGTGCTCAAATCAGACTCTAGCTGAGAAGGCTTCATTGACCATTCCATATAAAATAATATCCTATTCCTATAATTCTATATATCCTTATCCTTCCTTCAATTAGCTAACATATATTATTTGTTTATTGCCTTCTTCTCTGCTCTTGAACATGAGCTCTAAGAGAGCAGAAACATTATCTATTGTGTATATTGCTGTATCCCAGTCTTGGGACAGTTCCTGGTACATGGTTGATGCTTAGTAAATATCTGTTGAATCAGCTGAATGACTCCCTTAACTATGAAAATATAGGGTAAGGAGAAACTACTGTCTCAGAAAAAGTTATACTAGGACCTCCCATGGCCAAATAAAGTAGAAAAACAGAGGCTTAAATAAAATTAGCTTCTTTGACTACAGGGCTTCTCAAAGGAGGATAGTATAGAGTGTATCATATGCCAAATGTATGAAATTAGGAAAACCTTTATAAGGGAGATTTCATGAGATTACCTTTCTGGAGAACACACTGGAGAAATGGTGCCAAACTTAAACTGTATAGAATAGAATATATTTTGCAAGGAAGTTGTACTAATGACTTATACTAGTGGTTGGCCAGCTAGATATGGCACCAGAATTTGTGCAAAATAATGAAAAATATTTCATTTTTTTAAAAAAGAAAGATAAAGAAAACTATTTCATTTTAATTTTGTAGGTGTGGAAAAATAGTTTTAAGCTCCTAAAGATGAGAAATCTAAAGGAGTGAGCTACTATGTGAAGTGGGAATAAGTTACTCAATTTATGAAACTCATAAAACTTCATTTTCATATGAACTCTATAAGATATATATTGCTATCTCTACTTTTTACATGAAGGAAACAAAACTTAGGGTGTTTAAGTGACTAACTCAAAAAATTAATGATAGGACCAGAGTCTGAACCTAGGTCATTCCAGTGAGCCAAATCCCAGAATTTATTCCTCCTCCTCTCCTGTCTTTCCTCCCTTCTTTCACTTCTTTCTCATTCATGATGCCTCTCTAAAATTCAAAGTCATTAAAAATCACCAGCCTCTCCCCGCAAAGACTTGGTCTTTCTATTATGTGAGAAATATTCTCTTTTGGAAACCAACAAATTTTGTACAGGTTCCATGAAAAATGGGCCCCATTTTGCATTATACTGGTCCATTACTTTATATGGACCACCCTGCACTTCCTATTCTCTCCCCAGGCTCTTTTTTATTTCATAGGGACAAAAACATTTTCTCTTAAAACAAAAGCTTCATTTAAAAGAAAATTAAGTATTATTTAAAGAGTAGTGCAAATGACATTTCAAATCATACCTTATTTCTTTATATCCAAGGCATTCTGCATAGAATGTAGAATATCTGAAAATGGTCATTTTTTTTTCCCATTCCCTGTTTCCATCAGTTGTGGGGTAAGCAGGAAAGCAAAGACTTCATGCAGATGTGTTCTGTTACCACTTGAGACCAGTATTTTTCATTCTCATCTTAATTCTCCTTTATAACCACACAGAATTATTCAATTTTGGGAGGTATGGCTGATTAAGAACTTATATAAACTCAAACAAATTGCTCAAAAGAAGAAACGAAATTAATCTCTTCTTATGCCTTTACTTTTCTCAGTTGCTTTTATGATTGTGATTTTGCTAGTTCATAACCAAATAGCCCTCTGCCTTAAATACAGGTTCTCTTCCCTAAGTTGAGCACTCAGATAATCCTGACTGTACGAGTTTGACTTAATAATACTTACCACCTAGGAAACTGAGAAATCTGAATGTTATTAGGATAAAGGATGGTGTGACAACTTTGTGGAAGCATTCTCTAGTAAATTTCAGTTTTCATTTTATAGTGTCAATTCAGATCAATGTTTCTATTTAGAATTTCAAATCCATAAACATTAAATTCATTCATTCATTCATCAGTAATCAGAAAATGCAAATTTAAATAATAATGAGATACCATTTTTATATCAGGCAATGAAAGCGTTAATTCATGCCATTGTGGTAATCATTTCTCAATATATAAGTATAGCAAATCAACACAACACACCCATCGTAAACTTATACAAT